TCCTCAGAATTCATTGTGATCTATCGCTAGTTCCCAAACTTTGTTTTAAATTGGAATCATCTGAAACCAAATACGTGTAATAAACAGCACAACAATACATTGCAAAAGGTTTTTCTATATCTCCAAAATATGAGAATTTTAATTGTTGNTTTCTATATCTCCAAAATATGAGAATTTTAATTGTTGTATAACTCTATCAACAGTATAATCAACAGAATTAATATTCATCATAATATTGATTGTACTTTTTTGTGAGTTGTATTGCTTGCTATTACTTGTGGAAGTCTCGTAAGGATCTAAAGCATAGTAAAACTATTATCTTATCTATTTATATTCAATAGAAATTGTATAAATTTTAATTACTAATATTGCTCTTATCAAGTTCCACAAGAGAATACATATCTATGCAATCTTGCAGCATTTTGTATGCTCCATAAAAACGCACCTTTAATAGTTTTTTGAATGTTTCCAAATTGTCACTTATCTTAAAATAAAAAAGGTTTTATTACTAAAAAGTGATATTAAAAAGACCAATACAAAGTAAATATTAAAATTATAGTTTAATGAAAGTTTTATATGACGGAAAAACCTGTTAATATAATATTGTATTCATATCAAAAAATATTCTTAACTAAATAATAAAACTTTAATCTTTACTACTCTCTATTTGCTTATAAACTTAAGGGAAATTTATAGATATATAGATGCATATCAAAGTAGATTGATTTGCGAAGCACTAAATGTTAATTTCTTAATAGTTGTCATCATTTTATATTGTATTTCAGCGAAATAAATTTACTAGGGCTGAGAATATCAAAGAAAATGAGTCCTAATTACAATAACTTATAAAAAATAATTACAATATAACTGGAGTGGATCATAATATCATATTATTAAATAATATAATTTTTATAGTTTAAAAAAAAAAAATGTTTGTCTAATTATTTAAGTATAACACTGATAAATATTTTGATCGAAAATTATTACCTGGGGTTTTTCTACTGCAAACAATCTTGAGTGGAAAATTGTACAACACTCATTAAACTTTTTGGTAATAATAGATTTATCTAATTTTAAAAATTCAACTAATTTTTGACTCATTTCGTTTGGTTCAATTTTACGAGAAATTATATCATCTCTTAATTTATATAAAATTTTATTGATTTCTTCTGTAAAATTACAAATTAATATTGATAAATTAATTATACATGTGAATAATTTATTCAAAAATTAATACTATTTAAAATAAATAAATGCAATTTTAAAATACAAATAATTATTTAAAATATAAAGTAAGTGATGGGAAATGAATTGACTTTTTTCTCGTCAATTACTATTTTGAAAGAAGATTTTGATTAATCATAAAACAAGGTAATTCGATAATATAGAAAAAGTGTACTTGTGGCTAGATGAATTTTTTTAATAAGAAATTATTATAAGTATTTAAATTATTTATTTATGTAAAATTGACAGATTTATAATATAATATTGGTTGGCTTGAATTATAACGTTTTAATATTGTTAAATTGTTTTCATGACAGCTTCAATTTTATACTAAATTTACGACAATAATTCACATATTTTACAAAGCTAAATAGGTCATAATGTTGCAAATATGTTAATTTTTGGTATTTGGAATTTATTAAGGCTTTGAAATGATTTTTATAATTATTTGTAATTTTTTTCATTGTAAAAATATAGTGTTTAAATTGATAGACTCGTATCAACATATATTAAATAATTTTAAATATATAAGGATTTGAACGTTATTTAAATGTCTTACCATAATTCATTTTTTCAAGACGTTTTATGTTTAAATTAGCAATGCAATTATGAAATGCATCTTGTGCTTTTGGTAAATTTGTGGTTGATAAATAATTAATAACTCGATCAAGATTAATTTCTGCTGATGTGGACAATTTTAGTCCCTATTAAAAAATAACATTTGTTTTCTTCAGATAGTTATAGCCATTTGAAATAACTTATTAATTAAAAAACTGTCATTTTAATTGATTGTTTAATTATGGTAGTTTATTAGTTAATTTTTACTTACAGAAATCACTGAATCGTCTAAAGCCAAATACGTGTAACAAATAGCACAACAATACTCTGCGAAAGGTTTCTCTTCGCCTCCAAAAATGAATCCTGTCATTCCACGAACGATTTTATATAGAGTAAAATCATCAGACATAGTTTCAATTATCTTTTTTTCTATAGATTTTCGTAATTCGTATTGCAGGCCTTCTTTTGGATTTTCCTCGTAAACCACTAAAGCACAGTAAAACTATTAGTTTATTTATTTATATTGAATGGAAATTATATAAATATTAATTACTAAGTCTTTTCATATAATATCGTGCATCCAGGGAATAAGTATTTGCGCATTCTCGTAGAATTTTATATGCTCGATTATAACGCAGATTTAATAAATTTTTGTTTTTTTTCAAGTTTTCATTTTTCTTAAAATAAAAATGATTTTATAACTAAAATTTGATATTAAAAATATTGATATAAGGGAAATATTAATATCATAGTAATGAATGTTTGATATGACGGAAAAGCCTGTAAATATATAATTCTTTGCATAATAAAAAATGTACTTAACTTTAGGATAACCTTCTAAACCATTCAAAATCATAATTACACGAATTATTAGATTTAACCCCAAAAGCAAATCCTATTCAAACTCCTATTGTGAATCCTAATTAATCCTAATACGTTAATATCTACGTATGCGTCCATTTCCACATTGAAGTCAACCTCTACTATTCATTCATTTCTATATCAACGTTCATGACTACGTAAGCGTCCACTTCAACATCCACTTTAAAGTACAACAGTACTTACTAAGTAAAACTACCTTCCATTTTGACTGTCGTTTCTACATCTATAACGCTATCTATGTGTTGGTACACGTTAGTAAAAAGCTATAGTCCATATGTAAAAACAACATGTGCATGTCAAACTGCCACGAAGGTAAACCTATTGAAAGACCAGCACGATTCAGAAACTAAGCGGGGACTTGAAAAAATAAGAGCTAGTATTTATCCACCTACTAATTGGATACTTCATCAAGACTTTAGTGGCAGAAGAAGACAATATGTCTAGTGATAGTAAAGTAAACGAATCAAACAATGATAAAATGAATAAAGAAAAAGAAATGAATATACCTATGATTAAAGTAAAATTGCTCATTGATCATATATGGAACAATACTTACAAAACCATTCAAATTCTTTCGGCGCAAATCTAAATCATCCACCTCTTTCAAACAAGCGATTAGGGCTGTAGGAAGCAATGAGATTGCTTCCTAATTCTTTTTATGGAAGAGAGTGGAGCAACTGGAAATCCTTTTGGAAAAATAAAAATTTACAGTTGATGTGTAGAATTAGTGGCCATTCTACGGTTATTACGCGCAAATCATACTCGATTGTCCGGTAAGGCATGGCACTTCACATTTGTCTTACACCTTTAATTGGAGTATTAAGCTACAAAGCAACGGCCAAGGAGGACTACTATCATATACAATGAAGATAAAAGAGTTACAAAATCACATAATAAAACAAGAGACGTAAAACAAATATTCAGAGGTAGCCAATGCGATAGAAAAATCAATTAATAATTATTAATTGATTTTTAAAAACTTAGATTACTTGATTACAATCAAGTAATCTAAGTGTTTATGGTAGAACTCGAAAATTTGAAAGATTTTATAAGAACCCGGAATTCTTCAATACTTAAAATAGCAATTCAAGCAGCTAAAGAAGAATAGAGGATAAGACTATCAAATATTCGAGGGAAAAAATATTTGAAAGATAGACCACAAAAACGTTTCAATCCACAATATTCAATATTGAAACTTTCGACTTTCAGCACAAGCTGTCATTTATGTAGTCAATAGGAACAATTTGCTAAATTCTGTCGTAATAATAATTCTACATGCGTAAATATCACAAATAATGCTAAAGTACACAAGCCTACTATGCAAAAAACAATGTGAAAATTAAGAATTAATGTTGTATTGTATTATTTACTGTTCAATCACAACTATATAATATCAATATTTTATCGAAAAGTGAGTATTTTATTAAGTTTTAATTGCTTTGATAAATGGGCCAGCACAAAATTGTTAACTTTTTATATTGTACATTAAAGATATAAATTTGTTAGTGCTCAGATTCACAATTTTAATGAATCTTTCGGAATAATCACAGATTTAAATAATTTACAATAAAACCGAAATGGACTCATAAATTTTATAATATTAAATAAAATATTTTTTATAATTTAAAAAAAAAAAATATAAGGGTTAATTAATAAAGTATAGCACTGATAAATATCTTGGTGGAATAATATGAAGTATATATTTACATTCTTGTCAATTCAGGAGAAATTGAATTTCTACAGTTTAAGTTTTTTTTTATTGAATTTTTAGAATAATCTAAAAACCATTGAAATATTATTAATATTAATATTTTGTTATTTTATACCTCAA